AAGCAATACACACCCTCGTTAAAATTATATGTAACACTGTTTTATTTCCCACTTTTCTTTGCAGAATCATTCCAGATCTGTCAGGCTACATCAGTATCTCCCCCTCTGATCCTCTCTCAAATTTTTGACTGTATTCAGGTCTGGGCTCTGGCTGGATCTTTCCAAAATGTATTTTCTTCTGGTGAAGTCATGCTTTTGTTGATGAGAATAGATGCTCTGGGTTGGTGTTGTGCTGCCAGATAAATTTAATCTTCATAAGACCTTTTATATTATGTAAAATTGACATTTTTTAGCTTAATTAAAATCCTGCCTGAAGTGTTTTCTTGGTTCCTTCATGCTTGTTAGAAAAACTCCCATGGCAACCATTCAGCTGTGTAAAACTCCTGGGTGAACCTAGCCCCGCCTCCAAAGACGCAGCTCCTCCTCAGAGCTGCAGCTTCTAGGCTTTTGCTCCTTCAGACTAGCTAGCAGCAATTAGCAAACACCTGGTGGAACTGTGCATCTGCTGAGTTGTTTATAGGAGGTACTTCTCAGTGAAATTTGAGAAGATTTAATGGCGGAGCCATGTTGTGATGACTTCCACTTCAGAAAGAGCAGGAGCTTCTTAAAGAGATGACGGCCCAATTTCAATTAGTTTAATTATGGAAGTAAATTTTCTTTTAAGTCATATTTGATATATATTTAGCATTTTTGTAATAACTGAAGGTAACTGTTCATATGCCTGTAAAGTAAATAATACTACCCCTTTAATGCAGCTGTTTCCTCTTGGCCCTTTTTTTTCAAATCAATGTAGAGAGATGTTCAGTTATTGATAATATCATATTTTTTGCTGTACTTGTGTCTTCATTGTGTTCCCTGGTATGTGCATTAGCCTAAAATACTTAATGTAATTATTCAGTTATTGATGTCATAATTTACATGAATGGTCTCAAAATTTTCAGAAATATTCATCTTGGTCTTGCTTAACCAAAAAAAAAAAAAAAAACACAAGAAAAAAATGGTATCTGAACAGTGCTGTGTAAAGTTTAAATCCCCCGTGTTGCACCTTGTTGTGAAAAAAGATTACAGCGAAATATTCTTAAGTCCGATGATCGCTTTTGAGATCTGTCACATTGACAGCTGCGGTGGAAAATACATGAGTGTCTCTGCTTCATTCCTATCCCCCCTGCAGTCCGTCTCTCCCTGGTCAAAAGATGGGATTCAGGAGTCTGGAGTGAGCCCGTGAAAACCTAATGAGTGAACGGGGAGATGGAGGGAAAAAAAACCCTCCGAGACGAGGAGCAGAGAAGGAGCGCAGCACCCAGTCCTACGGTGTCCTTCAAAGTAAATGGTCTTCTAACCTGAAAGACTGCATCCCAACCTCCACACACACAGTTCATTTCATCGTATGGAGAAGACAAGTAGGAATACATTTTTATGCTTAAGTGAACAGTGGTTGAGGTTAATAGGAAGTTTTTTGGGGGGTTCACAAAATGACTTGAGGACATGAGAAGCCGTCCGGCTCTATCTGCCAGCGATTCCCCGGAGGGACGTTGCAGCTTCATTGAACAGGACTAAGGGTCCACTGTTGCCAGAAGCCATTACCCACTGAAGCCGCTCCTCTGTCACGCGGCCTCCGCCATGAAAATGAAATCAGTAAAATGAACGGTAATTTGATTGCCCCCTGCATCTCTCCTTTTGCCCCCAATGAGAAGTGTTCTGACCTCCATGGCCCAGTTACCCTCATGTTGGACCATGGGTTTTAATTACCTGTGGGTGGACTGTCACAGGCAGACCAAACCTGTGATTTCATCTTATAGTTAACAATGTACCGACATGAAACAGTATTTTAGAGGATGTTTGGATTTTTTTCTAAAAATGTAAGTATTTTTATTAAGTTCTGCCTGAAACAATGGAGAGAGGGATGGAGGTGCAAGAAGAAAAGGAAATTTTTTCCTGTCAGTGTGTACAAACATTTCTGTGGGCCTCTATAAAGTAAAATCTTCTTGATGTTTGTTATCTGGTCTTGGACTATTTTTAATCTGTTTTGTATTTTTTTTTCCCCCGCGTTAAAATTAGATTAGATCTTCAAAATTAGATTTGGGTTCACCTGTAATAAATCAGAGCTACTCTTTTAATAAACATATCAACATGTGATTTTAATTGTGTTTTATATTTAATGGAAACACCACAAATGTGAAATTGTGAGTTGTTTTTTTCATTTTTACATTAGTGGAATATCTGCAAGTTTTGCTCACATTTGTAATGGAAATGCAACTGAAGACCAACATATTTGGTTGGTTTTTCAAAAAATTATCTAGTATTGTCACATACTAGATGATTTTTGGTGATGGCATTTGACAAAATGTAATGCTTATTTCCTGTTTCATAACTTTATAATATTTTTCTGAAGTAAAGCACTTTGACTTGCCTTGTTGCTGAAATGTGCCACACTTGAGTTAAATCTGTATCCGCTTCGTTTATATGCAGATACACCCGTAATGCTTGGTGGCCATTTATAAAGTTTGAATAATCTAAGTGGATTGCTGCAACATTTTAAGTCTTGCATGTTACCCATGTTATTCTTCCTCTTGCATGTCTAGTGAGTTTGAGTGAAACCAGAGCAGGATGAATTGTAACAAGTGGTGTATGCCATCTTCACAAGTGTTTGCGTTTCCTCACTGTGAGCATTGGCAGCAAATGAGACACCACATGTTACAATTCATGGCCTTGATAAAGGTGAGGTCGAGACGAAGAAAAGGGAATTTCACTTCCCAGCTCCATGCTGCCTGCAGAGGCTTTTCATGTGCACTGTCTGTGCACATCATGAATTATCCATGATTGTAAAACAGACCTATTGCTTGCTGTCGCTGCACAAGACGGGGGATTTGTATGTAAAATAATGCAAAGTATTCACAGGAATACGCCTGCATGCGTTTTGCAGTCTGGGTTTCATCAGCGCTTTCTACCGCAGCACATTTTCTGTGATACCGTAATGTGACATTAACACCATTAAACCAAAGGAGTCTGCTGACTTATTAAATGGACAGTCTGCGTGGGATGTGAGGACACCGTCCCCCACATTGGACAAGAAGGTTTAACTAATCCGTAGATGCAGCTGAGCCAAGCATCTGCCTGTCTTATTCCCAATGACCGCGGCATCCATCGCGTCGGCCGCCACTACCTGAGATTTAATCTTCTGTGCTTTCATTCGTTCACTTTTGCTTTCTGAAGAGTTAATGAACACAGAACATCACACACCATGTGGTGCCTTTAAGTTTGGGGCTAAAGGTTTGTGTGGTTTCTGTTTATCATTTTTTCTCAGGACATAGAGGCATTTTATAGCACAATTAAGTAACTGTTACCTTCAAGTTGTTATGAAATTGCTATGTATTTCAAATATGACTTAAAAGAACATTGACTTTCTAATTTATTGTCTTAAAAAAAAAGTGGCTCCTATAATGAGGTCAGCAGTTCCACCAGGTGTTTGCTAATTGTTGCTGGCTAGTCTGAAGGGGCTGAGTGCAGCTATGCTTCTCGAAGGCGGCTCTTGTACCCTTGCACAGCTCAATTTTGGTTATCATATTCAAAATGTGCAGTTTCAATATTTTACAGTTTATTTCTTTGCCATCAAAATGTACAAATGATTGCAGTGGCATATTGATAAATTACAGTATATATTGGCTTTCGTCATAAATGGAACATCTGGATTTGGTGAGGGGGGAAAGGCCTTTTGGGCATCAGGGAATTAGAGGGCTGCATTTAGAGCAACAAAAATATGAAGCAAATTCATCCCATGTCTGTTTATTATTAACCACCAACGTCTGATTAGTTTATTTAACTTCTATCTAATGCTTTAACTGTTTCACACAGAAACATCTGCAGATTTGGTTTGTGTATCTTAATTCTAATGTTTTGTTTTGTGTTTTAGAAATTTATAATCAAACTTTGAGTGGAAGGATTGCTGGGATACGTCATAAAAATATAATCACAGCTAAATACTAACAATAACAATACATAACAGAGCCTTATTGTATTATGAGTACACATTTATAAAACATGCAGAGGAAGACGCTACTTGTCCTCCTGAAGGCTTCTGCTGCCATCTTGTGCTTAAGTCCAAGTATATTTCTCTTCTCCAGTTATGCTGTAAGTGTGCTGTGCAATAAAAACAATGCAGAATTGAAAATATAACCATTAAACTGAAATACAACATTTGATGTGTGCACTAGCTCACTGCTGCAGGCTAAAATGGAATAAAATGCTGTTTAAGTGAAGCATTAGTTCAGGTACAGTTGGAAAACATTCATCGTAGTTTCAATGTTATAATCTAAAGTCTTAGGAATTCATATGGTTAAGTGTCTATTTTAGGTTTTATAATTAGTTGAGTAGTAATTGATTATAGTTACTTGAGTAGCTTTTTGGGTGAAAAAAATCCTTTGAGGAGTTTTTTTCTGCTGTGCAATTTTAGTATGAAGTGTTGCTACATGAGTTCAGTTTCTGAATACTCATTTTGAGTAACATCACCAAATGAATCAATGTTTTAACCCAAAGGTTCACCAGACACAAATCTGCAGTTTCTGTTAGTTTTATATTGAAAGTAATGCATTTGGAAATGTTTCTTTTTATCATATTGTATTTTGTTATTTTGTAATTATGTTATTTCTATGGATTATTTTCATTTTGGTCTGTAAAATACCAAAAACGTTTCATATTTATTTCATCTAACTATATCATTTCTTGATATTGACTGATTTATATTGTGTAGCCTATTTACCAAGTACTTTAGTTTTACTCTTGCTTGAGCATTTTCTTGGCTGGCTACTTTTTAATTTTATCCAAACAAAAATATGTTGAACAACTCTTACTTGACTACAATTTTTGTAGTAGTTTTACCCCAGAACAAAAAGTATTAAGTAGCAATTTGAAGTACTTTAAAATGAAATGCAGGTGAGGACTAACAGAGGATGCTGGAGGTTTGGCTAGAGATGCGCGCATGCGCACCAGCTCCTCTCCTCTCCGCTGCCTCTCCTCTCCGCCAGTGACCTCTCAGTCTCCGCAGCACCGCGCAAAGTGGACTGGGCGACGAGGCGAGCACGACACGGGGGAGAAATGGCCGGGATTTTCGGGAAGATATTCGTGGGCATTTACGTGGAAATAAAGCGAAGCGACGGTACGTGGCCTGCCCGGCAGCGCGCGCGCGCACTCCGCTCCATCCGGCTGGTCCGGAGGAGAGGCGCGAGCCGCGCCGACGGCTGCTTTGCTAGCTAATGGTCACATGAACACTTTCTTCGGGTCCGTAGCGATAAAAAGCTGCGCGGTGTGAAGCGGAGAAGCCTGTAAACACACGGCTGTTCCGCCCCGTACTGTCGCATGTTGGTCTGAAGCCGGGAGGCCTGCGGGGCAGCAGACCGACAGCCAGCCGGCCGGCGGGCCGGACGGGCGGGTCCGGCCACCTGCGCGGCTGTCCGGCTGTCAACGGCATGAACACCTGCCCCGTTGCCTCTGCGTCACGGCATTAAAGCGTCCGGGGTGGGACGGGGTGTATTCATCCACCTGCCTGCACTGCAGCATCCAGCTGTGGCCTTTGAGTGCTGGGCTGGAGGATGGATGGACGGGCCTCTCCCCTCTGACTTCATTATACCTCATTAAAGGAAAAACACAGAAACAGCTGATCCCTGCTGGGTTTGGCCTCACTACTGTCTCCCTTATGATGATTTTAGCTTCAAGCAGCTGATTAGCATGAACAACAAATTAGTTGACTGACAGGGAAAAGTCACATCAGCCACACCCATTGGCTTCATGATGGTTTTCATAGTAAAATTACATCCTGAAACACTTTGATTTAACTTATTTTTGCCAATCAAAAACAACAAAAAGAAAAGCTTGTAAAAAAAAAAACCTGAACATGGCTGTGGGGGCTGGTTTAGTTTGGATTTGACTTTAAGGATCCAGCAGCGTCTGCAGTCATGCATCAGAATTTACCTGTGTCTGCATCCTCACCGCAGGGCGAATACACCAGGCCATGGTCACGTCCTTACACGAGGACAACGAGAGCGTGACGGTGGAGTGGATCGAGAACGGGGACACCAAGGGGAAGGAGGTACACCTGCCACTGCTCTGAGTTGTGCTTTATCCCAATAAGTCAAATTTATCATCTAAAATGCACTGAAGTCAGGGCGCTTCAAATCCCTGACAATGCGTTAATTTCAGAAATCGCATTATATGGAATGCAATCTCTATATAAAAGTCCTTGAAAGTGTTTCATGTACAAGCTGTGCAGTTTTGTAATAGAGTGTAATATAACATTTGTTTAAAAGCCTAAATTGGGAAACATTATTTAAAGTTGGGACCAGATATTTTCACACAAACACTTTTTTCTCTCACTGCCTGAATTTAAATCAGGATGAACTTTTCCTGGTTTAGGTCAGTTAGAATTCCCAAAATTATTTTAGTTGCTAAACGCCAAAAAACTTAGCGAGAACATCTTTTAGAGATTTGTTTTTCTCTATTTCAAATACATTGTGCTTTGAGCACTTAATACAAGCTGAAAGGTAAAGTACCCTAAACACAGTTAGCTCGGATTCTTTCGATGTGATGAATATTTATTATCTATTATTATTATTATTTAACACCTATTATTAAATGATAACACACAACAACTTATTGATCTGTGTAAATGAAATGAGGGTTTGGTATATTTTATATGTTAAACAACATTATTGAAATTATCGCTGAAACAGGAAGAGCAGCTTTTGGAAATAAAGAAAACAAATAAGTCATGTGTGAAAATACACCTTTTAAACTTGACAGTATAAAATATTATGTGCCACAGAGGATCATAAATGTTCTGGGTTAGAGCTGCTCCCATCCCCCACAACCAAACTCGTTGTAATTACACCGTTGTGGTTTTATTTCAGTTCTTACACAGATAAACAGCTTGTGGTCGTCTTGTGTTCCTCAGATCGACCTGGAGAGCATCTTCGCTTTGAATCCGGACGTCGTTCCTGATGAAGAAATACCTCAGAGTCCCGAGGCTCCTCTTCCTCCGTCTAGCATCACTAAAGCCAGCAAAGTCCCCAAGGTCTGCTCTTCGCTCTACAACAGACTGTTATCAAGTAGAAATGTCCTGTTTTTAGGTTAATGTGTGGAATTTTAAAATAAATCCTGCCACTGCAACTATTTAATACGACTTATGACAGATTCATTATTTTAAACTAAGAAAAGATTAATTTTCTTAGAGTTTAAACTTGATGACAGAATGGCAGATGTGTACGACTTCATGGGTGTTTTTTTTTTCTTTGTTTTATTGAACGTTTGACTTTTGTTACATTTTTAGACCCGACGGATCACAGCAATACCTAAACCTGAAAATGCTCCACGGGAGAACAGAGGTATGTTTGACCCGCTATCCATTTTGAATACTCCCACTGTTGATAAAGAAATATGGACACTATGCTGTTACTGCACACTTCCTGGTGAAGTTAGAGACAAATGTCTGCTTATGGAAGATGGAGACAGTGGAAATTTGACTCCCTGATGTATGATTTTGTAAATTCCTGAGCTTCTGGCGAAATCAAAAATGTGGCTGTCTGTGATGATATATTTTTGTGAACAGGTGAGTTCCAGCTACTTCCTGTTGTTGTCGTCTTCTTCGTTGTTTTTTCCAGTAGGAACATCTGGTTGTTGATCATGTGACTCATGATCAACGACCAGTGTTTCCATTGCGGCTTTGCAGTTTTACCTGTTAGCTACAACCTGTTTATGCTAATGCATGCTTTGTTTACTGAGCAGGAAAAATGGTGGGATTTGCCTAGTCACTGATAATTGTTGATCAGGTATAAAATCTTTTAATCCAGTCACTCTGATTGGATTGTTGTATGTACTTTTATTTCATCCATCTGATTGAAATGCTAGAATATCTCGGGTTGTTGCTCTTTGGTATCATGTTAAAGTTCCAACGCTCTGCTCTGCAGCTGCAGCGGTGGGAACGACCCGGGCCCGTCCCAGCCAGCACAGCCAGCCTGCAGAACCCCCCCCCGCCCTCCATCACCCCTCAGCCTGCAGTGAAGGAGACTCTGATGCAGCAGCAGAACGGTAACGCGCTTGGTCAGTTTTGGTTCTGAGTGGTGCGTCCAGCCCCTCTGTTGTTGTGTTCTGATGCGGTCCCATCCAGTGATGTCATGCTCCCAGTCCCAGACAGCTGGGCTTCATCTAGTCAAAGCCTCTTTCACTGCTGGTGGAGTCATACTGCAGCGCTTGTTTCAGTTCCTGTTGGGGCTGTTTGGACAACAAACGTGGATACAAAGAGAAACTCATCAAGATGCAGCTCTTGCAGCTTTTTAATCAATTTACCTGGATAATGTGAAATTGACTTTTTTGAGCTGCACATCATGTTATATTGTGATTATATAATCAAAATCATAGCTGGAGTTTTGCTTTGATTCTTTTATGCATGTTTGAGGAAACGTTTAATCTCCCATGGCAAACATTCAGCTGTGCAAAGCGCGTGGAGGGGACTGAGCAACGCCTTCAAGGACAAAGCTCCTCCCCCACTCAGCTCCTTCAGACTAGCCAGCAGCAATTAGCAAACACTTGGTTGAACTGAACATCTGATGAGCTCATTGTACGAGCTGCTTCTCAGTGAAACGCTGGTAAAAACATTTTTAAAGGGTTAATAGAGAAGCCATGTTGTGGTGACTTCCTGCAGACGGGGTTTTAGAAATAGCAGGAGCTTCTTAAAGAGACAGAGGCCCATTTGTTTATAAATTATATTTTTGTAACAACTTACGGTGCTATTGGCAAACACTTGGTTGAACTGTGCATCTGCACCTGGTTCAACCAGGTTCTCTTTGTAAGCAGACTTACAATGTGCTATAATTATTGCATATGTGCCTGGAAAATACATAATACTGCCCTTTAAATAAAGATTAAATTAAATAATAAGGGTTTAAATAAAATGAAATTCATTGATTTGTCGTTTTCAGCACGAAGGAAATCCAACTGCGTGAAAGAAGTGGAGAAACTGCAGGAGCAACGAGAGAAGAGACGTCTGCAGCAGCAAGAGCTCAGAGAGAAGAGGGCGCAGGTGAGGACAGAACACACACACACACACGCATTCACTGTGTGTTGATTACACATCTTTATATTGTTGATTATAGAGAAGTGCAGCATGGAGGAAGATCATTTGTGAAGGAAGCATTCTTTTTGTGTTACTGGTTTAAACAAATCCATTCCTTATTTTCAGTCTGTTGTCCTCTAGACACAGAATCAGGACTGATAAAACAAGTGGGCTGTTTTAAATAAAATCTACTTGAAATGGAAAGCAAATCAGAGTCCACTAGTCCTGATGTTCAAAAACCATTGCAAAGTAAAAATACAACAAAAAACCCCAACAAAAAACATTTTTTATGGCAATAAGACTTGTTGATTTCTTTGTTGTCGTTTTTCTGTTTCACTGCAGGAAGTCGATGTCAATCTACCCAACTATGAGATCATGTGCATGATCAGAGACTTCAGGGCCAGCCTGGACTACAGACCTTTAACCTCCAACGATGCTGTGAGTCAGAAACACCACACAGGTTAGACAGGGACAGCAGGAGATGCTGCAGGACGAGCAGAGGAAAAGAGGCGGTGGAGTAGTTCTAAAGGACAAAATAGATTCAAGAATGAAAATGATTTCAAGGAACAACGAAGGATGATTTTTCTGTTTCAGATTGAGGAGCACAGGATCTGTGTGTGTGTTCGCGCTCGACCCCTAAATAAAAAAGGTAAGATGAGCGAGTTCAGACCGTCTTGTCCTCATAATCAACTGATTGTTATGGTGCCTGAGTTCATAGTTAAAGCCTTGTGCTGTAGCTGAGCTTCAAACCAACAGTGAAGCTCACACGTGATTTAACATACAAAAGGAAGCAGATGTTGCCATGGATACAGCATTCTATAGGGAAAAAGCTCTGGACAAAGAAATGAAAGTTTTTAGTGAAATACTCATCCTAGATAACAGGCATAATGTCCTGCTGTGAGATTCACATGGTAGGATAATAATGAGTAAAAATGGTGCAGCTTAAAAATCACAATATTGAAAATGAAACATGAACCAATGTTGCTTTTATTTAAAAAAGAAAAACAACAATAATCTTTGCTACTGCAACAACAATATGCTCATTGTTTCACTTCTGACTGATGTTGTAAATGGGACATTTATTATTTCAATCCTCATTCATACTTAACACAAAAATAAACAAGGATTTGTTAAATGTACGTGTGGTTGAAACGCTTGCTCCATCCAAGCATGTGCTCCCTCCTCAGAGTTATCAGTGAAGGATCTGGATGTGATCACCATTCCCAGTAAGGACGTGGTGATGGTCCACGAGCCCAAGCAGAAAGTGGACCTGACCCGCTTCCTGGAGAACCAGACGTTCCGATTCGACTACGCCTTCGACAAGAGTTCCACCAATGAAATGGTTTACAGGTGTGTCCAGGTTTTTCTGTTTTTTCATAGCCGGGCATGATATTTACATTCCTTGGAAATATTTAAGTAATAGCTAGAACAATAAGAGTTAGAACAAGTGTGGTGCGTTCGCTGGCCAGAAAAAAGCCAGAGTTCTGAGATTTACCAATCATTGGAATATTTTCCAATTCAGGTCAACAGAGAAGTCGGTACATCTCACGTTTGTATTTATTTTGCTGCTAACACATTCTTCCCTGCTGCAGGTTTACGGCCCAGCCTCTGGTAGAGACCATTTTTGAGAGAGGGATGGCCACCTGCTTTGCCTACGGACAAACAGGAAGTGGAAAAACACATGTGAGAGCTTTCATGTGAACCTGAAATAACGACATTGTTTTAGTCATTGGTTAATCTATCAATTATTCCAAAGATTAATCAATTATTCTGGTTATTAATCGATTAATAACTGCAACAATTAATCAGATAGAAAAAGTTGGCACATTCTGTCGATTTCTTATTAAAATAGAAATACATTAATAGAAATACATTAAAAGATGCCACTTTACGAGTTTAGGGTGGAAAACATTCAGGGCCAGGATTTTTTGTATGTTAAATGCAAAATATAATTTTTTTTTGCAGTTTTGGTTTAGAACTTAATCACTGCTCTGAGTGACTGTGTTCTTCCAGCAAATCGCCTTTTTAAAAAAGCCTATATGATAAATTTTATGATTACTCAATGACTAAACTAGTTGACGATTATCTGATCCGTCATGATTGATCCGATTAATCATTTCAGCCCCATTCGCAACAATTTTCCTCTCATGTTTTTCATTCCTGTTGAACTGTGTGTGATTTCAGACAATGGGAGGAGACTTTTCTGGGAAGAACCAGGACTGCTCAAAGGGCATCTATGCTCTGTCGGGTCAGTTTCTCCTGTTTCACTGCTGCCTTAAACATTTCTTCGAATTAACTGGGTTTCATTTTTCGTTCTCACGGCAGCCAGAGATGTTTTTCTCATGTTGAAGAAACCCGTTTATAAGAAGTTGGATCTGCAAGTTTTTGCCACATTTTTTGAGATTTACAGCGGAAAGGTCAGCGTCTCAACAACCAAAGAGCTGATTGGACCCAGGTCAGCGGAGCGGCTTAATTACACAGTAACTGCATGTGTTTAAAGGTGTTCGACCTGCTAAATCGCAAAGCCAAGCTGCGGGTCCTGGAGGATGGGAAGCAGCAGGTGCAGGTGGTCGGGCTGCAGGAGAGGGAGGTGAAATGCACCGAGGACGTCCTCAAGCTCATCGAAATGGGAAACAGCTGCAGGTGAACGCCAGAGGAGTTTAACTCTGAGCCAAATGTTGCAGTAGTTTGTTTGGAAAATATCTGACCGACAGTTTGGATTTCCAGGACTTCGGGTCAGACCTCAGCGAACGCTCACTCTTCTCGGAGCCACGCCGTGTTCCAGATCATCCTGCGGCGGCGGGGGAAGATGCACGGGAAGTTCTCGCTCATTGACCTGGCGGGTAACGAGAGAGGGGCGGACACGTCCAGCGCCGACCGGCAGACCCGACTGGAAGGAGCCGAGATCAACAAGAGCCTGCTGGCGCTGAAGGTCAGCGAGCCGCGGCTCCAGACGCCGCTGGCTAACCTGATTAGCTCTAACAGAGCCAGAGCAGACCGGCCTCATATGGAGGGCCGCTTTGTGTCACTGACATGCTGGTATTCAGGTTCCTCTGAGCACATTTAATGGAAATGTTGCAGCATCATCTGCAATGTCTATCAAATAGAAACATTTTTAATTACGTTAGAATTGGGTTTATTTCAGGGGCAGTTTGATATGAACAATGACATTTTACCAAGGAACAATGTTTTTTATTACTTATTATTTATTTGCTTCATATATTAAATCATTCTTTTTATAAATGTACTTAGATTTTTCACCCATCTGATAGGTGCAGTGCTATTATACCCATTTAGCTTTTGTGGAACTTTGAAAATATTCTTTGGAAATGAAGACGTTGACTTTAGCATTGCTGCTGCTACATGTTTTGCACTGAGATGCTACGTTAGGCCTGAAAAGCTCCACTGACAGGCGAACTCCGTTTAGCATAACTTGAACACAGCAATAGCGTTTTCCAAATTGCTTTTTGAAGCAAAAATGAACTCCCAATGAGCAAAGATTTGTTGCTTATGCATCAAATTTAAAGGATTACCAAAATGGGCTAATACAAAGGTTCTGACCGGAACCTTTTTATGTAAAAAAATAGCAATAAATTACATTTTTATAACATGTTAAAACCAGGCCTGGTTTTAACCAACCCCTGGGGGGCGCTGACTGCTGATGTTGTTTATCTTCAGCTACGTAGATTCATTTTGCCCCCCCAAAATAAGCCGAAGCCCTCCCCTGTTAATCTTGTCTGGGCTGGTTAAAGCCTGTGAAATTAATCAAACATGAATACATAAAAATAAAGCTAAGCTAATGTGGACTTAAAAAAGAGACAATATGTAAACTGAAGCAGAAAGTCACCAGCATGCCATGCTTACTAGATTCTTCTTCAGTGTATGTAGTTACATGCTAAATCATTTTGAATGAATTTGGGTTTCCTGGTCTCCTGCTGCAGGAATGCATCCGCGCCCTCGGCAGAAACAAACCTCACACTCCGTTCAGAGCCAGCAAACTGACCCAAGTCCTCAGAGACTCCTTCATCGGAGAAAATTCAAGAACATGCATGGTGAGGCATCAGGAGCAAAGGACACTGCGCTCGCTGCTGCAAACAAGCACAGCAACATCATGATTCTCTGTCTCCAGATAGCAACCATTTCCCCTGGGATGGCCTCCTGTGAAAACACATTAAACACTCTGAGATATGCCAACAGGTAAAATGAGTTTCATCTCAAATGTTTTTTATGTTTTGTGACGAGATTTTTAGAAAACTGCGTCACAGAGCAGAGGCGGCTGGAGCAGCCAAAAATTAGACTTGAGTAAAAGTAGCACAAGTTCATATTTTTACTGAGGTAAAAGTAAAAAGTAGCTAGAAAAAAATTTGAGCAAGTCAAAACATCAGTTATTTCATTTTGAAAAATTACATCAATATATCAGAATATAAAGTTATGTGGAGATTTTGATGTATCAAAAACCAAAATGAAAACAATTTATGTAATTGTAAAATAATTTTAAAAAATCAGGCAAACCAAACACTTTTCCAAATCAATTCCTGTCAATATATAACTTAATGTCGTTTATTTTATTTTGCACAATTAAAAATGCAAATTAAGAATATTAAGAAAAATATTAACAACAGTGCCAAACAGGGCCAAAGCCCAATGTGAAGCAGAAAAAATTACAACATAGTACAAGTGTACAATTGTTCATCAGTTGATCACAAATTCATAAAATACAACCATATAAACACATCTGCACAGTATGAATGAAAATGAAAATATGTAAAAATGAAAACTTTACCAAAAACTGCAGGTGTGTGTTTAGTGAATTATTGGTTAAAAAACGCTTGCTTAAATCTTACTTGGTAAAAATAGAGCAGAAAATTATTTTTTTTCCCCCAAAAAGCGACTCATGTAAATGTAATTTCTTCCCGACTATTTCACACATTCACAACAAGCCACCAGACGTCTGTCTGTCCACAGCCTGAAATATTGAACATCTGCTGTCAATATGCAAACACACTAAACACGTCTGACCTCTCACCTCGACCTCTTCTGTCTGCAGGGTGAAGGAGTTTGGCATCAGTCCGTCGGACATTCCCTTCTCTCAGAGCGGAGGCGGCCGCTCGGAGCTCTCACCCACTTATGAGTACGATCGCTGCACTCGTTTACGTCATGCAAAACATTTCCCCCAAAGAATGTGTCATCTCTTGGACAGAGATGACACATCTGTCATCTCTGTCCAAGGGAACCGGCAGACATGACGCCGTCATGACCACACATCTGAACAGGCTGCTGCTGTTATTTAAGAAATCAACTCAACGTGGCAATAAAACTGGTTCACTGAGGAGAGACTCAGCCCCGCTATAATATCTAATAGTTTCTATAGTTGATACCTTGGAGACAGGTGTCCTAAACAAAGGGTCTGCCATTTACAAACTGTTAGTTGTTTCTTTTTTCACTCTTTCTTTAACCAGATTTTATATTTTCCTACCACTTTTAAACCCAAACTACTCATAAATGATGTGTTTAGTGACCGAAAGCTGAATGTGATTCAGAGCTGGTCCAAAATGTTGAAACGTCAGTAATTTACCTAATCGCCTTGACAACGTGTCCTTGCTCCCTTTCGTCAAGCTTTAATGTTTATTCTGTTAATTAGAGACATTTTCTTGTGAAAGAAGACGCTTTTCACAAGCACTATAGCAACAACAAGATCCTGATAGTGAAACATGGCGGCAATAGAGCTGGCTGGAAATGGATCATGGAGCTAAATCTGAAAAGTGCGGCATGATTTTCTGTTTAGCTATCTCAGTCAAATCGTTGCAGATCAGTTGCAGTTACTGAGATGCTTCTTTTGGGTCTCTTAAAGAGTGGAAAAAAACATATTTTTAAAATCTGTTTTAAACTTGCATGATGTTATTTTGTGCAAAGTGATTTAACTGATTTATTTCCGAACCTCGCCTCCTTACCTGTGCCTTGAACTCCCCCATTTTCCTCCTGTTGTCAGGATGAAGCAGCTGACGGCGGACCCTGCAGCAGCTCTGGACTGCCACCAGGAGGGGCACATCACCCAGCTGGAAGTCCTGGAGGCCCAGTGGGGGGTCGGCAGCTCCCCGCAGAGAGACGACCTCAAGCTGCTCTGTGAACAGAACGTAAGCAAAAATGTTGCAAACCACAGAAGAAGAAGAAGAAACCAGGAAAGTAGAGACAGTAGTTAAAAATAAAAGTCTTTGGATCTGAAGCATGAGGAAAATAGATTCAGATTACACACCGTAAAAAAAAAAGAAAAACGTAAAACAGTATAAATAAAATTTTGTCAAACAGTCGGTGTACATATAACTCTATATAACATATATAACTATATATAACAAACTCAGTACAGTAACATGGAGATTAAAATCTATATGATCAAATACATCTGGAAACTATTTGCAATGCTTCATGTTATATTTTAAGTTTAAGTGTTTTGTCTCTTTTGGACACATTAGAACTCAGAGGTGAATTTGAAAATGCTTGAATTTCACTTTGGTGTTTTCCAGGTTTGGGAAATGCTTGATTTCTGGGTAAAATTCTCGAACGTTTTGGATATCCAAACTGCAGTTTTGTGATGAAATGCAAAAATGTTATTTTCAGTCGAAACCACATATTTTTACACACCGAATAAAAATAAGGTTTTTTTCCCACTGTCTGAAGTTAAGTCAGACTTTATGTTGGTCTGAATGACCAAAGTGATTTTATGCGAGACAGAAAGGTCTGTTCCCTGTTTGTTTTTAGGAGGAAGAAGTTTCTCCACAGCTCTTCACCTTCCATGAAGTTGTTTCTCAGCTGGTGGAGATGGAGGAGCAGGTGCTGGAGGACCACCGGGCCGTGTTCCAGGTACAGCAGTGCAGGCGCGCAGAGCTTTGATGTTTTTCTGTGAGAAAAGAGAGGATAAATGTTAGGATTTTCATGTAATTGCTGAGCCTTACCTGTAGATGTCAGCAGAGTGTCACAGTGCAGTTTGCTGTTGCCAGGAGTCGATCCGCTGGCTGGAAGACGAGAAGGTTCTCCTAGAGATGACGGAGGAGGTGGACTACGACGTCGAGTCTTATGCAACCCAGCTGGAGCAAATCCTGGACCAGAAGATCGACATTCTCACCGAGCTGAGGGGTAAAACGCAACGTCAGCGTTGCTGTTATTAAACACAGTTTGTCGCACGCCAAGTTTGAGACTCGCCGGCCTGAGATTAATATCTGCATTGGTACCGATATTGAAACAAATTCAAGATCAGGCAACAGTTATAATGTACCTAATCCATAGGGGTAGATCTGTTCGATCTAATTCTATTCTTTGTCTTCTGAGTGAGTTTAAATAGTTGAAAATATCTCTAAATGACAGAATAAAAAGTATTTTTTTTTACAAAAAATTTATATAAGAATCTCAAAATGAAAAAAAAAATTTCTTGCAAATTTTCAAACTCAGAAATTTCTTTGTTTTTATTTTCTAGACATTTTCTGAGCTTAATCTCCCAGTAGGTCGCACTAAGCTGCCAAAAATAAAACACTGATAAATGTGTATATAAAGAAAAAAAATTCTAGATTTCTAGCAGCCTAAGTAAAAAAAAAAGTCTAAGTTTAAAGTCTACATTTAAAAGTTTACGTTTTGCATAGTAATGAAGCCAAAAATCAACAACACCTGATAATCTTGGCAACAAAAAGGTTCCTATACAGCTTCCATAAATGTTTTCATTCTAATTCTGTGGGATTTTTTTAAACCCATTTTAAACTGTGTAACTCTTAAAATTCATGACTTTATTCCTCCTTTCAGATAAAGTCAAGTCTTTCCGCTGTGCTCTCCAAGAAGAAGAACAAGCGAGCAAACAGATAACCCCCAAGAGGCCTCGAGCGCTCTGAAGGCGCCATGATGACATTGCTGTACACAGGAACAAACTGAGAAACCTTTTGACCCCTCTGCTGGTCATGCATTTAATTCCTGCTCATTCATCCGTCCTGTTAAACAAAAGAGCAGACGTGCTCTTCCATCCCCGCCGTTCAGTGTTTCAACAAGGTTTGTATGGAAGGCCGATTTGGAATTAATGCACGCGCTTTCCAGTGTCACCTGGCATCTAATAAACGGTTCCATCAAATGTGGAACCTGCTGTTTATTTAGCGCCACTTCCTGTTTAACATCTGGTTACGAGAAAGTAAAACATCAAAGCGTTCAGTATTCACCTGGTGATGCTTGGCAACGGTGAAATAGTAACTCCACCCTCTCGTGTCGATATCCAATGAAGATATCTGAACCTTCAGCGACGCAAAAAGACAATTACAAAGCCAGCCTTCTGCCACCTGAAGGCTGGTTGAGCAAAATCAGGCATTACTAATCGAGCCCTGATATTCACTAGTTTTAAGATAGATAGATAGATAGATAGATAGATAGATAGATAGATAGATAGATAGATAGATAGATAGATAGATAGATAGATAGATAGATAGATAGATAGATAGATAGATAGATATTTTTTAAAGTTTACAGGGAGGTGTGGCTCTCTCGAAAGACAAAAATTATGCAATTGTTTTGCACATTTCTCCACAGGGTTTTATCATTCTTGCTGTTGCATGTAAAGATCAGACTTTCAAATAAAATCTCAATTTGCTGCCAGGAGAAGGACCTTTTTCCTGCGCTATGTATGTTAATAATCCAATCAAAACTTTATTGCTTTGCCTCACACTTTGCTATTGACTGCACAGAACAACCTAAAATAACCCAAAGTGTTGCAATCTAATGCTCCAGTTATCTTGTTAGTCTGTAAGGTAATTACGATGAATTTCTGCTTACAGTTAATTTCATACACATTTAAGATTAGAACATCAGGACAGCAAATTTGAAAAGTACACTTAAAAGCTGCTTAAAAGGATTTTTAAGCAGCCTCATTGAATCACAATCTTATTAACATGACGTTAAAAGGAAACAATTAACTTTATGAAGAAATTAATATGGCACAAATTTTCTGTGCTGTAAAACTATTGTAGATCAGTGCTCGACTTTAAAGGTCTGATTTAGCTCCAGGGGGCGGAGTTACAAATTAATCGCCATTTGTTGTTTGTTTAGCGTCACTGGCTGCGATATACGTTTTGAACGCAAGGCGGCGCCTGGTGAACGTCGCTTATCATTTATAAAGGGGCAGGTTTCCTCTTCATCCCGCTTATTTGACGGTCCTGTGACGCTGGGAAGCCAATTAATTCCAACTCTGCCCTCCATAGGATTTGTGCTCATACGTCAAGAACAATTACATGTGAATACGTTTTTCCTTTTGAGAAAATTTTTTATATGGTCAATCATAGCTTATCTTTACTACTGTTACTGTCAAACTGTTGTTTTTGGCCAATTTTATAAACCGCGTTTTGCCATTTTGTGCAATATGTGCAGGATTTCCTGCTCCTCCCTCATCTCACCACTCACCACGCTGACGTGGTGCGGAAAATGAGCCGCTGTGTTTGTGACGACACGCTGCGTCACAAGGTTTGACTGAAACTAAACTGACCTTAACTAAGCCAGAGGGGGCGCTGTGATCACAGACGCCACCTGCAGGACATTTCTGAAAACAAGTTTTTCTTTTGCCAAAATAATAATAATAATAAAAAGACTTCTTGTTTATTGTATGTATCCCTTTTGTTTTTTTAACTTTACGTAAAAATGCCTTTTAATGTGTGGGAGCTAATAAACTATTGTTCCCATCTGAAGTAAAATGCCGCACATGAACAGTTCTTTTTGCTCCAAGAATAATTATATTTTCTTGACAAAATGCTGGAGAAATCTTTGAACAGGTTTTTTAAAGGAAACAGTCTCTTGGTGTGTCTCCTGCTTGAGTGAATGACGTGAGAAGTTTTATTCAAAAGCCCAAATGAAGCACATTTTAACTCTTCCCAAACAACAAATCTGAGTGGAAGCACAAAATATTGTGTAAATCTCAATTTAATCCAAAAGCGACACTTTTTTTTTTTTCCCCATATCAACATTTTATTGAGGAATGGAGAAACGTTGAACATAATTGCTGTATTATTAATACTAATGTTGTTATTAAATGGTTCCAATTTGACAGAGGACATGCAGCAGATTGCTAAACAGTTCTTTATGGGTTTCCATGCGCGTACTTGTGACTGGTAAAAGCAGTCTGTGGTTATAAGTCAAAGGTTTTCTGTAAAACACTCCAGGCTGAAAAACTGTTTCATGAAATCCTATAAAATGCTGGAGATGCAGCACAGGCCAACAGCAGGTTCGAATACAAAGAGGCGTGTGCAGGTGGGCGGTAAACTTTGACCTCTGGTGGAACCAGAACGAGAACAATGCACAGGAAAAAAAACATAGAAATTCGGAAACCTTCCGGGCTTAATGAGAGCCAAACGGTCAGACAAAAATGCTACATATTTCAAATATATTTTTACCTGAAATTTCCAGAACAACATTGTGACGCGTAACTAAAACTGAGGTTCTACATGTACGTTTTTACAGTATTTACAGACACATCCATCATGAACCAACACTCTGATCCGGCTCAGCAGCCAAGGGGGGATTATTAAATCTGAAATGTGTGGCAGAACAAACGTTCATCATCAGTCTGGGTTGATGAAATGTAGAGGTAAACAGAGGGGATGCTAACGGAGCTACAGTAGCCATGGCTCAGTATGAGATTCTCACAGCATGAAAGGTTTCAATCATTTATACACTGATTGCACTGATTTAACAATTTGGGCCGATGCCAACATTAAAATAGCTAATAATGAATATTTAACAATGTTATATATATTATAAATGTATTTAACTACCCTTTTGACACCTTGGGGGAAAAAGAGCAACTACTACACCACAGACTTTATCACTACGGCTCTTCTTCAGTCAAGCTTTTAACAATCCTGCATCACTTGGCCAAACAAATACAAATGACCAACATCTTCCCGTCCTCCCCAAGATAGAAGTAAATATCGGTTGTCAATATCGAGCCAGTTTTATTTATCGGACCAATACAATATTGTCCGATACCGATTGGGCCAATACCGATATGCTAAAAAAAACAGGACTAATATCGGCCAATACCAACTTTTTTTAGACTTTGCTACACTGTGACATTGCTAAACGGCCCATGCATAATCCACATCATTAAGAAGCTCGTGTTGTTTTCTGATTTATTCTTTTACAAATCTTACTGCCGAATGTCTTGTCAGAACAACAGGTCTAAAATTACTGCACTGTCGCTGAAATGATCATATATTTGCCTGAGAATGATCTTAATTAACAAATCAATGTGTCAATGAATGGTCACTTATAAATATAAAGTATGAGTTAGTGTAATTTTTCTTCCAATTTAGTTTTTAAAAAATGCTATTTTTAATTTATTTCAAAAATTTTCAAGTAGTTTGAAAGAAAAAGCCACCAATCGTAATAAAGATAGTTTTAGTTATACATTGTGTTTTTGTGTTTTTTTTTTTATGTGCTCATGTACACATTCGGCTGAAATTGCATATTCATATCCACTCTGGAACGAAAATGCAGAAGTTTGTAAAACAGATTTCAACAATTGTATTTGGTGTGATAATTCAATCATGGGAAACAAAAATGGTTCAGTTAAATGATTACAAGCCCTATATTCATGATGTGGGGATGTAAACTTCTGGAACTGCACTTTGAAAGCATCATTGGAAACGTCGTCCTGAGGACCGCAAAAGATTAGCCACACAAACGCCTCAGAGTCGGCGTCTGATTTTGGCTGCACTGAGCCGCATTTTCAAAATTCCTGAATCTTCCCGTTTTCATCTGCAGCCACAGTTTGGCACGTTCATCACACAGACCTTCTTTTCCTTTCTACGCAAAAACACACACAGCAAGCAAAGACAGTGACATAAACAACAACTGTTACCTAGTGCAAAAAGAAACAATGAGGTTAAATAGTTGATTCACTACAGTATTAGAGATTGATTTTGGCTTTTGTCGTTTGATGAAGACATTGTTGGTCACACAGAGTGGAAACAGACAAGAGCTTCCAAAAACTCCCACAGGCTGAAGGGAAGGACTCTAGTCAGCTAATCCAATTCAATCCAGATTATATGAATTGAACTGGAATCCAGCCCTGTTTTTCTGCTCATTTTTAAACTCCTGTGTCTTGAATGCGCTTCCAGTCTAAGCGAGGGTGAAAAGGAAATATTTCAAAGGGTCATTACTGCAAAACAGTGATACAGCAGTTGATCTGTTAAATTATAAAATATTGAAAAGACTGAAACAAGTTGTTAAAAAGCTGTGGCTACAGCTGGCAAATGTAATTTTTAAGTCATTGAATAATCTTAATCATACGCTAAAATAAATAGCGCCGTTGCTAACATGAACTCTTTTGCTAATTTTGACCTAATAACTAACGTTATCCTACCTTACTTAATGGATTAAGTCAATGTTATCCAACATGCTAGCATGAGTCAATGTGATTATATTAGCATTTAATAAGATTACATTTTTACCAAATTTCTACTAAAAACGAAAGTTAACTTCCCGAATGGACAAAGTTAAGTTTACACAACATCCTAGAGTATAATAATAGCACTGAAGCAAACATTAGCCTTTTAGCTCATTTGATTTACTGAGTGAATTAAGCTAATGTTAGCCAACATGTTAGGTAAAGCTGTCACATCAACCTGCTAGAGCTAGCCCTCTTTAACAACATAGCATTTTAGCACACTTTCATTTAAAAGCTAAACCTAACAGACTGAAAGGAGTGAGCTAATGTTAGTGTGTTGGCGATAGCCCACTTGCTATTGAGAGCGTTTTAGCTAGCATTAGCAGTTTGGCTAATTTTAGCTTTTACATTGGACTTGTCATTCTGAATGGAGAATTACTCCATGTCAGCATAACAGTGGTAGCTTACATGCTATCTTAAATATTTGAGCTGGCTCTTGCATTTTAGCTTAAATAATTCTGTTTGCAAATTAAATGAGTGTCTTAATATTGTGAAACATATTTATAAAGTGTAGTATATTAGCTGAAATTATAGTTACATTCTGCTCTGACTGCACTATGAGCTTTATAGCTTATAGTTTAGCTTTATAAGCAGTGTTTTGTAACAGCATCTGAAACTCTTAGCTGGAATTCTTTTTGCATTGACTTAAGTTTTCACTCCTTTTAAACCACTTTTTTCTATATTTCTACAAACTGTCTTGCTGTTTTTTATCCCCCCACTGCTTATTTCTTACATTTGTGCAAGTTTTCTGCAGCAGACTGCAAACGCTCCTGCAGTTTCCACTGAAAACATTCTGCTTGCAGCTCCACCGTCACTTAAAATGGAAGCACAAGTTGTGCTCAGGACATTTTTAAGGTTTAAAGCGAGTTGAACCTCCACCCCAAACGGAGCTGATTTTAGTCTCCATTCAGGCACCTGACTGTTGTCCTAAAACCTAATAATCTACAAAGCCTTCCTTTAACTCATCGTCTGTTTCTTCCTTGATGATGAGGAAAAGAAGACATAAAATGTCTTCTTTTCCAAAGTCCATTTTGCATGAAGATCTACAGTTAAGTAGAAGAGAAGCAGCAAAACCCATAATACTTCGTCTTGGGCGAAGGTGAGGTACAAGGCGTACCCTCCCAACCTCAACATTAACCCCTAAACGCACCACGAAACATTCAGGCTGAAACACTTCCGTGCATTTTTCGGCCATTTTGGTGCAATAAAAACCGCATGAAATTCCTGCTTCACGTGTCGTCGTCCTCAATCAGCACTTTACCGAGTCCGTAAAGTGGAAACACAAAGCTTGGAAACGCTGTCTGTCTGACTCCAGAGCGCCGCCAGCAGGCTGGCCTGAGGCATTGCAAGCAGATGGTTATATAAAGGGATAGTTGCTGTGGACTGTACAGAGTTCAGTTGGTGCTTAATGCTGCATGCCCTGTTTTTCTGCTTCCTGTTCTCGCTGTAGAGTCAGAGTGTTGTGGGATTTAAGGCCTTGAGTGGCCAAGAGGCCACGCTGAAAGGAAAAGGGCGGAATAACAACTACAGCTCTCCTGTAATGTGTACTGAAAAAAAAAAAACAACTAAAGATGATAAACAATCCTGTTCTGGAACTTGGACTAGACACGACAAAGTCGCAGAGCGCCGCCTCTGCTCCATTAACCAGACTTCCAAGTTAAACCTTTTATTTTTCTTTTAGTGTGTATAAAAGCAGAGAGTTTTGGTTTGACTTTTATCTCAGAAGTCAGAACTGGGTCAGATTTCAGTCAGGCTCCAAAAACTGGATTTGCTAATTGTCGCTAACTGGACACGCTAACTGTGTTAGCTTACAAGCTCTATGAGTTTTCCAGCGTTTTCCATCTGACCTTCGCCCACAACGGCTCGCCATTACCAAATGAAAGAAACGCAGCCATAAATGCTCATTAATAGCTTATTTTCACTTGAAACAAAAGATTTAGCTTCTAGCTACATCTAGTTAGCTAGCTTAATTTAGAGTTTGCTAACTCTTTCTGAAGTAGTTGACATTAATATTCAGCTTCCTAAGTATGTAATTAACAAGATGAAGCTAAATACTTAGCTTTAACTTGCTAATTAAACATTTAGTGTTTTTTTTTTTTACTAAATGTTGAAGAAGAATCTTCCATTGGAAAAGCCAGACACCTATTGGCCTCAGACTTGTGTTTGATTGAGGATGAAACAGTCCTGAGCTCATGAGGATGATGCCAGGACCAGATTCATTTAAGGCTTATAATATTTCATTTTCTTTTTACATGATGCATCCTATGAAAGTCTGACGGTAAGAGGACCATGCTACAGAACATTTTGATCTCTGCCTCCCTCCGACCCGTCCGTCTTTGTCCCGTCCAGAGATCACGGAGCGTCTTTGGCTCCCTGCGCAAACTTCACTTGGGGCCCTCCTTATTGCCGCGACCCCAGCAACCCGCCGCTATGCTCATGCTCCTCTGGGTTGTGGCGGCGAACGAGCGCTCCCGCTCCCCTTCGCACTGGCTCAGCGTGCGCTCGGTCCGTACCGGCTGGCTGCCGGAGCCGGAGATCCCTGGCTGCTGGGAGGAGATGGTGCGGAAGATGTGGTTGCGTTTGCGGAGGAAATCCCCTCCGGCCGCCCCCAGGGCGAAGCTGCCCTTCCTCAGGACCATGCGGGTGGAGGTGGACTTGGCCGGCCGAGACCTTTGGTTGTACTGGAGCTGGGACAGGTGGGACGCGTAGCCGTCTGGGATGAACTGCAGGAGAGGTCAGACGGTCAAGTTCATGAACGAATGCTTCACCATGACAGTAGGGTTTAAAAAAAAAACTCATTTCTGTCACAAATCAACATGGGAAAACACTGAAATACAAACTCCCTGGATGAGAAGTTTTCCACCTGTGTTATTATAGAGTTTTATGTTTTTTCCATTTAAATGCGTATTGGAGCCACAACATGATGGTTATTAGAAGCATCATGTGATCCTTCATTACATACATTATTACATTATTATTTCTAAAATGAAGATTTACCTCCGCAGTGTCTAATGACAATGGGATTACGAATAAAATGTGATTACGCAATGTAGCTGCAACTGCTAAACATACACAATGCTGCAATATTGATGTTTTATTATTACATATTGCACCATTACTTTATGACTAACTTAAACACCGACGCTCTGAGTTTTCTGCTGGTTGCTCCTGCAGGGCGTCAGTAAGTCGGGTCCATTCCGTACCTGGCACTGGTGCTGCATCTTCTTCGTTGGTCTTCCCACGATGTAGATCTGAGACGGAGGCAGGCCGACGGACGAGTACACGGAGATGTCCTTGGTGGAGCCGTAGGCAGCAAAGATCCTCATGTGGGCCTGAGCCGAGCAGTGAGAGCAAGTTTTAAAGGACACGGAAAAGAACTTTATACGTGTGTTTAGTTTGAAAAAAAAAAAAAAGAAAACTAACTGGCTCATTCTGCCCATTTTTTGTGCAACATGAGAAATGCACTAAAAGACAAAAACAAACAAACTCAGTACGTTTTATAAATTAGAAGAAATATTTTACAGTACTCCTTTAAAAGGCGTTAAAAGTGTTTCTTTAGTAGAAAAATTTGAGCTTTTTCTGCGTGAAAACTGCTTGAGCCCAGCAGGACACGGTGAGGGAACAAAGCGAGGAGGGAACGAACAGGAAACCGAGCTCTATGGATTTCCGCCCGCCTCACCTCACTGATGAGACATCTGAGGAAGTTGGCCTTGTGTCTGAGCGGGTCGTGAACGAGGCCGTCGCAGAAGGACACCACGCCGTGAGGGAAGTTGTGCTGGGAGAGCCAGGCCACCACACGCTGCTTCTGCATGTCGGGCCGACCCGTCACGTACACGATCAGGTAGCCCAGGTCCTGCCAGTACCTGGACGGAAGCGGACGCAGGGGCGGTCAGCGGATCCGGACGGCCCGACGGCCTGCCGGTCGTCGTGCCGTTTACCCGTACCTCACCACATCCACGGCTCCGGCCCGGACCTTGGGGTCACTTCCCATTATAGACACACTGGCAGCAAACGAGCCGTCGATGCTGAAAACGACAAATTCTGTCCCTTTGGGTACGACGGTGAGGTAACTGTCTGCAAACGTGTGATCGCCTCTGTTAGAGACACGGCAGGGGGAAGAAGCAGATACCAGCAAGAGTTAGCAGATCCAACTGGGATACATGAAAACTTATTTTCTTGCCACAATCACACTGGCATGCTTTGGACATTTACATCTAAATATACAATATATATGTATATATATATTTTTTCCAAATATATACATCTGCAGACAGTCACATTTAAGACTTTTTCAGACCTTTTGAAAATTTAAGACCTGATGTTGACATGTTTAAGGCTGGCTTACTTTTTTCAAATTAGTCCAAGGTCATTTAAGAGCTTTATTTTTAGATTCATACGTTTAAGACTTTTTAACGACGATTCACAACCTGGCGTATCACACAAAGATTATATTTGTAAAATATAATCTTGCAAAAGTTTTTGATTTCTGGACACCGCAAAACAAATTTTTGGTCTAGTTATTAGTGAAAATATCATATTACACTTGAAATAAAACAACATTTTCAGCAAACCTTAGGAGCTTGTTTTAAATCAATAATCTCTTGGTATGAATGGCAGATTTTTCCATTTACTAGAAGACATTTTCTCCTGTTCTAAGCGGACTGGGCGCATCAGCACTCTGCACCAATCTGATGGCTAAATAAGCTAAATAAAAATGAAAAAAAAAAGATACACCTTTTTGTTTGTTGGGGTCATCTATCGCTATCCAATAATTCAGCGGTGAAGTGAAAACGTACATTTTTTTTGTGGCTTCATAGTTTTAAAATACAATATAATCAATTAATTAAAACTTGAGTCAACCTGATTAAATAAACAGATGAACTCAAACGCCTCAGAAATGCTTTTTCACAGCTACTGGGAGTGGCGAGTTCACACACCTGACCACCATTTTGACAGGATACACCCCGATGCCCAGTCGCTTCTGTGCCGGGATGACGTAGGAGACGCGTCCGCTGCTGTTGGTGAGCTCCGTGTCGAAGTAGACCCACTCCCCGGACGGGGGCTGGGTCATGATGTGGATGTCAATCTGCAGGAGGAAACGAGTGGGAAAGCGTCAGTTTCTCACCGGCGCCGCGACGACTCGCCGCCTCCTCGGTTCACCTTTTCCCCGGTGAGAGTGACCATGTCCAGAGGTCCGTACATGAAGCGCCCCGTCACCGTCTGCACTCCGTCCTCCGTGAAGACGGCGTCGTTCACGCGGTGGTTGGCCGTCACGTTCTGACGGAAGCAGAGACCGGGTTTCAGTAGACGGCCGTGTTCGGCGTGAAACATGCTCCTTTGACCGTCACCAGTACAAAGCATGAAAGGGCAAATGATCGCTTGCTTGAGGGCAACTGTTTCAACAAAGCATTTTATGAAAGTGAAAAAACTCCTTCGGGGAGCTCAGATCTGAGTCTGCAGCTGATTTTTTTTTTTTTCTTTCTCAAGCGTTGCTCCGAGGAAACAACTCCAAACACACTCACTCGTATTTTCACGTGTGTCCTCTTGCGAACCCATTTCTCCCGAGGTTTGGAGGGCGTGAACTCTGACACTTCTTTACCGTCCAGCTCCAAAATACTGGAGTTCTCATGTCTCATAACCTGCAGAGGCAAAACAGGACTGGTGTAAAGAAAATGTTCAAGAGGAATTTGGAAATTTCCCCTTTTTCATTTGCTCATGTACTGCAGGATGCTGCAACATGGTGGTTTTCACCTTAGCTGCTCTGTGGTAAGCCCTTAGCTTTAGCCTCCACGACCAACCAATCTGGACTTACATTAAACAAAGGTTAAAGGATAAAGGGTCAGCTCAGATACCGGCCCTCAACAGTTACCTTACCTGGAGCAGAAAGATGTCACATCACTATGAACTTTGTGAAGAAGAAATACGTGCTAGGAGTGTTAGCCTGAATCAGGCCTGATGCAGCGTAGATCTGGACTAAATATTATCTTATCAAATCCGTGTAGATTTTGTCTGTTTGCTGCCAAATGATATCAATCAATGCTAAATGTTGGTCTGAGGTAATGAGTTAGTTTCTCTAATAGGAGCTTCTCTGGATTCTAAGTTTGTTCTAATTCCTGCTCTGGGTTGAGTGACGCACAAACCTGTCTGAGAAGGAATGAGACGACATCTGTGGACTCCCAGTAGGAGGCGTGGAAGAGATGCGGCAGAGCCACAGTGGGGAACGCCGTCAGAGCGTCGGGACAGTACAGAGCGTAGTCCATGCGCTTACTGCCCCACCACCGCGACGCAACTAGTCAGGAGCAGAGAGACACAATCAGCGCTTAATGTTGGCTCATGTTCACGGTCAGGTTCCTCCTCGGGAAGAGGTGAAGAGCTCAGACGGGCTCTACGTCTAAACCACGGCGAAGGCTTCAACTGAGAGGCTCTAAGGATGAAAACAGGAAGTGAGCAGCGTCGCACTCGGAGGGTTCGAAAGGCAAACTTGCGGGAAGGTGTCAAAGGAAACGTCAGGCGAGTCATTTTATTTCATTCTACTAAGCCAGACTTCCTGGACGCCTACAAGAAGGGTCAGGGTTTGGTTCCAGGACGACAGAGGAAGACAGAGCGGAAGATGGGCGAAGCTCAGGGAACGAGGAGAGGTCCTACGGTCCTGCAGCGCCGCTCACTCACTGCCAGCTGCCAGGGTACCTTGCTCTATGTTCTTCAGCAGCCTGGGTGACGGGGGCACCGAGCTGAGGTCTGTGATGTCAGACGTGACATCGGTGAGGTCAGAGGTCATGTCAGAGCTAGGGTCTGAGCTCGGCTCAGACTCCACACCGTTAGCTCTCGGGAACACCCGACGGATTTTGTTGTGCAAGCGAATGGTCGCGCTCCGAGAGGCGAATCGACCGTGCGGCAGCGGCAGCTGCGACAGCAGGCTGGGCCTCTTAGAGGGGCTTTTGACTGCTGGAGGCGGGGGGGACGAACGAACAACAGGGTCAGCGTGTGCGCACATCCCGGGCCAACGCTGCGGTCGATCCGGCAGACTTACTGGTGGCGATGTTGGTGGCTGTGTAGGAGTCGGCCAGGCCCGACACCTGGCTGGCCAGGCTGGCCTCGCTGGCCCTGCGGCTGCAGCGGAGGTGGGGGACCCCCGGCGATGTGGAGGCCGGACACAGACCATCAGCATGTAGATGAGACTGAAGAGTGTCGGCTGTGGAGACAGAGAAGAGAGTCAGGAGTCTGCTGCGAACAATAACACAACGGCCACAAGAGGGAGCTGCAGGACAGGAACAAGAGGGAAGCAAAAACAAGAAAGAAACTGACTAGATGGTTTTAAAAAAAATTCACATGTTGATGGTTTAAAAAGGAAAAAAGGAAAATTAAAACTGCTGAGATATTTTTGAGATTGGGCAAGTTTTACTGCCTTTCCTCTCTCAGGCCAGTTGATCGGGCTTTTTATTCCAAATAAAGATAAGAAAAGAGTTCAACTACAAGTTAACCTGTAAGCAGACGCTCGCTTCAACATTTCTGAACCAAAACAAAGACCAGCCGGACTGGAAACATACCGTCACCATGGACCAAAGAGCTCTGAGAGTTCAGCACCGGAACCAGGATGGACGTCTCGCTGGCGGGGCTGTCATGGCAACGCTGGGACGGCCCGCCGCCGGACTCCATCAGCAGCTGCGGGTGACTCTGGACGGTGTCCACTAAAGACCCGGAGAGAGAAAAGGAACAGGTGACCTCCTGGTGTTTAAAGGGAACGGCGGAGATCGGCGGCAGGACGCGTGTGTCCGCAGTCCCACCTAACAGGGCCGAGTGTCCGTCCCCCAGAGGGAAGCGCTGGTAGCGAGGGATGCTGAAGGGGGGCAGCAGGTGGAACCTCTTGTCCAGGAGCGGCTCCAGGCGGGAGGCGGACGGGTCGGCCGGGTGGAACAGGTTGTAGACCTGCTGACAGGCTGGACGTAGGGCGGACACTGCAGCCGGGCAGAACACAGAACAGGCTGCTGCTCCTTTATCCACTCTTTCATTTATTTATATTTACAGAACGTCCTATTTGAGCTTTATAGTTTATGAATGAACGGGTTGTCAGTTTACAGAGGAATGTGGGAAAAGGCACAGTAGAAATAATAACATAGAAATAATGTTGGTGTTTTGATTCATAGCCAAGTTAATAATCATAACTTGGTTATGATTATTAAATGCATCCATTTTGATGTTTTCCTCCTTTCTTATTCATTTTTACCTTATTGTTGTTATTTTCTTCTCTTATCTGATTGGTTTCTTGTTATCTTATACCTGTTTGCTAATTTGTCATGTTTGTTTTGTACTATTTATATATCGCGACACCAAATTAGGGCCAACATCAATTTTCAAAAAATTGTACATAGCTTATTTTTTTTATGTGCATGTTTAAAAGATGATTCCATAGTTGCACATTTCTTTGGAGTATTTTTGGTAACCGTATAGTATGTTATAATTTTCCACTTAGCGTACGGAACATCATTTTAAAGTTTGTTAGTGTCCACAAAAGACACTAAAAAGTACATTTTAATATTTTATTATCTCCATGTGAATCTACGTCTCTATTTCCTGCTCTTAATTAATAATTTTCCCAATTTGGGACAATAAAGGACATTTCATTTCTATTCTACTTTATTCTATTCTAACTGCCTCAATGTCACCGTCCATACATTATGTTTTTGTTTGAAATATTGTACTTTATTAAATTCACTCCACTTTTTCAAATAGCTGGAGATTTAAATGTCCTGCGTTGATTTTGTTTCAAATTTATAATGATTTTATTTAATTAGAAACTGATGTTCTTTGTGTCTTCTCCCGAACTTTCTCAGTAGAAATAAAGGAAACGTATAAATGTTCTGCTGACTGACTGGAAATCGGATGTTTTCCCATCAAAACCTCAGAGGGACGCCAGCAGCCAGACCAGGACGTGACCTCTGACCTCTGACACCCAGCTGCTCCGGAGACGCGGCGAAGTGACACCGAGGCCTTCTCCCCGCGTCAGCAGAGAGCACCAAACGTCAGAAACCAGCGAGCCTTCCTCACCGTCCAGGGAGGGCACCACGGTCTTCCTCAGCGCCAGCACCAGCCCCAGAGGAGAGCCGAACAGGAAGAAGTCGGTCACCTCGAAGTCGAACTTCCCCAGGGAGCCGCCCTCCAGCATGGTGCTGTTGCTGGAGCGCCGTGACCCGGGCTCCCCGTGGAGAACGCTGGAGTGCAGACTGCTCGGGAGGGAAAACGGCGAAAAGCACACGTGAGCTGGACCTGTTCGCGGTGCGTTCGGCAGCCTGCCTCCTGCTGCAGCTCACCTGGAGAGGAAGGCCTGGTGGTGCTTGATGGTGTCCAGCTCGTAGGTGGAGGAGTCGCTGCGCTTGCGCGGCAGCTGCTTGTTGGGCTCGTCGGGCCCCAAGCTGCGCGGGATGTCGATGTTGCTGCGGCTCAGATGGCGGCTGCCTTCGAGGGACGGCGACGGCGGGGAGATGCTGTTTATGATAATACCGGGAGAGAGAAGTTCTGTGTCCTGAGAATCAAAGATGGAGAACATGTTTTTATATATTCTACGCCTTTGAGTCGTTCATGTTCTGTCAGGTTTTTAAAGCAGAAAGGCTCGACTGCAACCAAAGTATGATGAATTTTCTAGACAAAAAGAAATCTGACAACAATTTCACAACCTGACTTTGGGTCTCTGTCTCTTTAAAACCTCCTGCTCCCCCTGAAGCTCCGCCTTCATTTAGTCATCGCAGCATGGCTTCTCCATTAACCCTTTCTCAACATTTTTACCAGTGTTGTACTGAGAAGTAGCTCCTGTAATGAGCTCAGTAGAGGCTCAGTTCCACCAAATGTCTGCTAATGGCTGCTGGCTAGTCTGAAGGAGCCTCACAAAGGGCTGCCCTGTGCTTGGAAGCCTGGAATCTCCTTCTGAGGAGGAGCAGTGCCTCAAAGGCGAAGCTCGGTCCACTCAGGCATTTTGCACTGCTGAATGGTTGCTGTAGGATATTAAAGGGCTTTAATGCATGAAAGAATCAAGGCAACACTGCAGGTTTGTTTTTGCAATGTTGTAATATGATGCAAAGTCTGTTAACAACTGATATTATGCACTTTTTAACCAAACGCCCAACTTTAGCTGACTATTTTAACTCAGAGCAGCCAGTCAGATGAGTTATGGTGAGAGAGAACAGAGGTGTACCTGGACACTGATGGTGCTGCCCCGCCTGCTGCTGTTCTGGCTTTCTGAGACCGTCACGGAGCTGCTGCAGAGTGCGTCGAAGCCCAGGATCCCTCCCACACAGTCCCCGATGACGCACACCTGCAAGATGAAGGCGAAGCCCGACCGTCACAAACTCCCCGGACAACCCTCCATCCCCCACCGTCACACTCTGACCGACCTGGCCGCTGAAAGCAGCTCCTTCTGCAGACCTGAGGAAGTCACTGTACACCTGATTGGCTCTGAGGATGACCGTCGCCACGGCGTCCTGGTACTGCGGCGCAGACGTCGCCAGGAGAGGCAGAGCGGCGAGCGGGATGTGGTCCTGGCTGCTGGACAGGCAGCTCTCGTCGTAGCTGTATGGACTCAGGCTGCAGGTCGTGGAGGCAGAGCGTGTCAGTGTGGCTCAGCTCAGCTCAGCCGCGCGGCTCAGTTTGTTTCTACGACGTGACACTGAAACGTTCGTCACTCACTTGGAGACGAGGGAGAAAGCGTCGACGCAGACAGCAGGACAGGGGACCATGCGGACGGTGAGGCGTCCGAGCGCCGCGGGGTAGTGGACCCTCATCACGGTCTCAAAGGCCCCGCTGAGGGTGTTGACGTCTCCCTGCTTGCTGTTCTGTTCGCCTGCAGTCAAACAAACAAACAAACAAACAAACAAACAAACAAAGCTTTCATCAGTATTTCATTAAGTCTGTTCTCTCTATTCGTAAAGGAGCGGTATTATGTAAAGTCAACTTTTATGAGCTTTAAATCATGTTATAATATTATTTCCTCACACAAAACACACCTGGACTGTTTTGATTCGTTCATCTATTAATCTCCATGGCAACCACTCAGCTGTGAAAAATGCCTGGGTGGACCAAGCCCCGCCTTAGGGGCACAGCTCCTCCTCTGAGCCGCAATTTTTAGGGTTCTGCCTCACAGAGCATCCCTCCCTCCCACACCCGCCCACTCAGCTCCTTCAGACTAGCCAGCAGCAATCAGCAAACAGCTGGTGGACCTGAGCATCAGCTGAGCTCATTATAGGAGCAGCTTCTCAGTGAAACGCTCATAAAAACGTTGCAAAAGGGTTAATAGGGGAGCCATGCTGTGATGACTTCCTGAAGGCAAAGTTTCAGAAAAAGAGGGAGTTTCTTAAAGAGACAGAGACCTCATTTTAAGGCGTTAAATGACAAAGTCAAATTTCTTTTATGTCATATTTGAAATTTATAGGCTGTTTATAACTGAAGGTGACATAGTTACTTGCTAGTGCTGTAAAATGGCACCATGTGTCTGTAAAATACATAATATCGCCCCTTTAATTTAAATAATTGCAATTTAATCGACTGGGGAAAAAAAGATAAAAAGCCATTTATTCCTCAACAGAAGAGAAACGTTTCATCAGTCAACTAATTTTACGTTTCCTTTTTGTCAGATTTATCTTAAAACACATTTTCTAGGCTTAGAGAAAAACCTCACCAATTAAATTTCACAAAGTTCACCTGAATTAAATCTATATTCCTTTTATTGCATCTTCATTGAATTCTTCTGATACTTTTCTTTGCTCGTCTTAAACTTGAGATGAAGGACGGGTTCATGAACAGAGTAAGAGGTCTGCATGAAAGGTTTTGGTTTTCTGAAAAATTAGATTAGATGAACACACTGTTGTACCAGAGCCGGTGTCCAGTATGTTTCCACCATGCAGGACCAGAATGAGGACGTGGATTTTGGACTGCTGGGGACACTGCTGGGACGAACAGTCCTGCAGATAAGAGGGAGGGAGACACGGAAGGAAAATACAAGAAAAAGCCATAAATCACTAAAGTTCCCAGTTTTTACACTTGATAATAAAATAGGAAGCCATTCCAAGATTTGGAAGCAAAACCCTGGCATGACCTCATGTATGACTTACAGTCTTATGAGAAAACAGCAGGAAATACATTGTAGGTGAATGAAAAAAGGACATAATTAATATTCAATAAATTAGAATATTATTAGTTAGTTTACTTAACATTTTAGGGATTAACAACAGACTTCATTTGTCCTAATAATCGTTCAACTTCTTTTAAAGTCATTTTAGTTTGTGTTTTTTGTTGTTGTTGTTTTATGAGTTCCTGTTGTGACTGAAACTGAAACTTCCAGCCAAATGGATATGCAGCTTTTCATGCTCTTCTGGCCAAACTCATAAAACCCCAGGATCTATAAATGGACCGAGGCGAACTGAGGAGCCGGGCCCTCCATGTCTATTTATGGGAAAAACACTGTAAACAGAGCTGGAGACTGCAGGGGACGGGTCGTCCTCCTACCTACACCGGCATGGTGGGTCAAAGGTTATTTAGCAGAGGGGAATAGAATAGATTTATTTTGTCCATGGAGTTAAAGTGAGAGTAAGAGTGAAATCTGTACCTCCATCTGGGTGTCCTCAGTGACGCTGTACTCCTCACTCGACTCCTGATACGCTTCTGTTAGAATAGAAATCAACAACTCAGATGTTTGCCTCATTTTAAAAAGGTGGATTATTTTACCTACAATTATAATTTTCTTCAGACTGATTATGGTGAATACCTTGCGCCTCATCCGCTTCTGTTGTCTCGATCTTGTCCATGAGGTCATTCGAGCTCCACTTGGTCATTTCCTTGGAGAACATGTCCTCGTTATCCGACAGGTCCTCTGCAAAACGTCCACAAGGACTGACATGTAGCATGAGCCTCTTCTTCTCCAAAGCAATGTTTTCTACACAGACTGAGGTTTATGGCCCCTTTTTGAAATCTCCACACTCAGCCTCGGCGGCTCAGCGCGTGCTATCGGAGGAGTCGGCTGATTTAGATCAAAGCTCATTCACATCGAGTCAAAGAAACTGTCGTCAGGGTTTCTGCAGGTTTCACCAACTCAGGTTTAAGGCCTTTAAACAACCTATGAAGAATTATTGTCGAACTTCGGCGAGTTGTGGTTTTCAGTGGCACTTCTTTTTTTTACATTACATTTTGTATAAAGTGTTCCAAAAAACATCTATAGTTTTCCTTTCACTGTGTTGTAAAGGTATATCTATCACATGAGATGGAACTGAAATGCATCTTGCTTTCTGTCGCATCTCAGTTTGTTTTGTTAAGGTCTATTTTACAATCCATCCCCCATCTGAGCGCCGTCTGCTTTACCTGCAGAACAATCAAACAGTGCATCCTTGGAAGAATGTTCACAGAAGTTGCTTTGTTTTACTCTAAATTGCCCTAAGAAATTCAATCTGCAAACAAGAACATTTATTTTATCCGCATTCTTTAGAACGAGGATGTTTTTTTCTCCTTGACGTGCCCAAAGTTTTCCCCAGCACTTTATTAAGTGTACTGTGTGCTTTGGGAAAACTGAAAATAAGGTGGTGCTTTTAATAAAATAAAAAAATAAAACAGCAAGAAAAAGCTCCTGAGGGCTGCTGCCTGCTTCAGGTGCTGCTCAGAACCGGGACCTGATTTGTGGAAACTGAGGAGTGACTTCTGTGAAAACAGAACTTTTCATAATCTGAAACAATGGTGAGCATTAAAAAGCCCCTCATGAGGAGCGATTTACACCATCGACGCACAAAGCTGGGAACCTCCACTTCAGCACTAATTACTATAATTAGTAATGAGTAGCTGAATGTCACACAAATTTGCCTACCGGTATTTATTTTTCGCTTTTGCTTCCAATTAATTTTAATAGGCTCCAGGTTTTTTAGGCTGGTGACATTTTATATTTGACTTCATTTATGACAGCATGTCATAAATGAATAAGGGAAATAATCAGGAATCATCAAGCACTTTAAAAAAGTCTGAAACCAGAAGGACAGCCCGGTCCTGATTCCAGTGAGCACGTGTGATGAACTGGGTCGATCTGCTGAGTCCTGAGCTGCTGTTCATAAGGTGCTGATTTGGATGTTGGCGTGACGATGATCGTTACCGTGGGCGTCAAAGAACTCGTCGTCAGTGCTGTCGTCAGAGTCCCGGGCGATGCTCTGCATCCTCCACTCTGAAATGCTGTGGTGAGACGGACTTGCTGCAAACATGAAAACAAAACGTTTCATTTAGCTATTTCTAATCAAACGCCAATAAAAGTTATGGAGTTAAATCTGTTCATTACAAGTCAGAGGTTCAATCATTCTCTCTGGTCTTCTCTGCATATTGTTTGCATTACAGGCTTGAATCTTACTGTTTACATTTACAATGTGTTTGCATTGATTTGACTTAGTAGATGTAGTAACCATACGCAACCAGCAGAAGGAGTGCAGCGCTAGAGAGCCATAGCAAAAAGCACTGAAACAGTGTGTCAGTGGCCGGGTTAAAACCGGATGTCAGTAAAACACTGCAATGAAGTAAATCAAAGCCAAGGAGCTCCACTAACTTCCTCTCTTTGATGACCTGTTGGACGATCTGGAAGAGGTGGACCACTGCTTGGTGAGCTCCCCTCGCGTCTCTAGGGAATCTCCAAGCTTTCCTCGAGGTCCCTCGACCTCTGCAGCTGACCCCGGCTCCTCTCCCGCCTGTTCCTGGTCTTGGCTAACAGAGGAGCCGTTGGTCTCTGCTCCCCCCTCCTCACTCAGGCTGTACTGCGCCATCTTCTTGGCTAAAGCTAACTGGGTTTCCAGCTCCAGCTGCCTGATGTCCTCGATGGAGAGACCGTACCATTCATCCTGCCAGCACCACGCCTGCCGGTGGGCTCGGACCATCACTTTGCGGAGACCTGAAACAGTCATTGGTCAATCACTCGTTTTGGCCAACACTTCTGGTTTTGGTGTGACACAATGCAGCCCACACTTTACTGGAATTCACAGATTATTTTAAAGAACTTCCTACTTTACCATCCCAGATCTTACAGAGTTGCTTTTCCAATAACTTACTTTCCAGAATTGACTTGGTGTTTTCAAAGAATGTAAATTAATTTCCTTGACTTATGGTCGCTATCCAGCACCTCTATGATACGTTCCTACAAATTTGAGAATACTTTATTTAAAAGTACATTTTCTACCCCAAATTGCACAGGTTCCAGAACCCACATGCTACAGTAACAGAACCCAAAGCTGAGTTTATTTAACATAAAGTTTACTTTCTAGAATTGATCTGGTACCTTCAAAGAACTTTGAGACAGATTGTTCAAAAATCTAGATTACTTTTACAAACGTAGACGTTACTTTACAGAACTTGCATGGTACCTTCCCCGAATCCAAAGGTTTGTTTCTTTAACTTAAAGACTATTTTCTTACTTTAGAATTGATATCACTTTCCTAACTCATCTAGAACTTTGAGATGAGTTTTTTCAAAATATATTTTTTCCCAAAAACGTACATGTCACTTTCCAAAACCTGCCTGGTGTTTACCTGGAACCCAAAGGTGAGTTTATTTAACCAGAATGTACATGGTACTTCTCTAGAACTTCAAGATAAGATTAATTGAGGAACTGGACACTGAACATATGTTTTGGACAGGTCAGTGTCCAAAACATATGGATCACTTATAGATCAGCTTGTGGAAATCAATGTAGAAATCAGAGGCTGTTTATCTTAAACTTAAAGATTATTTTCCTCAGCGTTAGCTTCATCACTTTTTGAGCACTTACAAGGTTGTTCATGGCTATTAGACGTGTTTAAGCTTTAAATAATAAGCTCTCTCGTAATACATATAACTTACCCTTTTCTTCACCATTAACCTCCATCAGTTTTAAGCTTTTTCAATATTAAAATAACTTTTATTTTTACACTTTTCTGCTCGTGTAATCCATGTGTTGAGCACAACTTTACAGCAAGAATATCAGATTATTCCAGACATTCAGGGATGTTTCACGTTTTTGTCACAGTGATCTTTGTCCAGATCTTGAGCTGAGGATTCACGCTCCGACACCAGAACCCAAATACTTGCCTACGTCGTGAATGAAGCGCTCGATCTTGGACTGCATGCCCCAGTATCTGAACTCCACCTTGCAGAGCTTGTAGGCGCACATGACGACGGTCTGACCCGGGCTGTGGTTGATCTCCTCGATCCAGTCCTCTGACAGCGGGCCCCGCCTGGTCTTGATCGACTGGTACAGCTTGGGGTCTTCTTCCACCAGGTATTCATGGGGAGGGATGTAGTCCTTGACGATGTCTATGGGGTCTTGATTGCGACAAACACAACGGATCGTTAGACCGAGGCAGATCCGAGCTGCAGACAGAACCAGAACCAATAACGAGCCGCCGGAAGAAAAATGAGTTATTTTTCTGTCTCTTATGTAATCAGGCCCTGCAGAAAAGGTGCCGGCAGCAGACTCAACATTTCTTCTGCTCCCCGGTGAATTTTAGTATGCAGAGCCTCAACCTGCGTGCCCCTGTACTACAGCGTGCCGCAGCTTCCACTGCAAATATCACCGCGCCAGTCCGGCTCCTGTTTATTAAGGGGACGACAATCACGCAGAGGATCCCAAAGGAACGATTCAAGAGTAATGACCCGGAGAGCGGCCGTTTAGATAGACGAATAAACTCACCGACAGTCCTCTGTCTCTTTTCAGCGGCGGATAGATTGAAGACATCTGCTTGATTTCCGGTGTCTGGTTTGTAGTACGTCTCGATGTCGATGGAGAATTTCTCAACAAATGGACAAGTATACCTGGAAAACAAGAGGAGCAGTCTTCAGGGACGGAAACCAAATCCCAAACGGTCTGTCAAATACGCAAATAACAAAGTTTCCTCTATTAGCTATTTTTATGAGTGACTATCCTGAAGTTTGTCGTTTGAACCAAATAAACGTTACTCTTTCTTCCACAGTTTTCTGGAAAAAGTTTCCAAATGCTTGTAATGAGACAAAAGACGTGGAGTAGGCCTTGGTGAATCTGGGACTTTAAAAAATTAATTTCAATGAACTAACTACATAGATTTAATGGGTTCAAAATTTTAATGGAATTAATAACTTTTTGTTGTTGTTGTTTTTAGAATAAAAAAGCCCTGAGTCAGCGCTTTTGTATTTGTGTGTTTCTAGTTCGCCGGTGAATCTGACACACAGGCGACATCCGTAAACCGCAACATTGGCCGCCGCCGCCGCCTCGCTCGGCTCACTGGGGATTCATGTTTTCTTCAAAAACCAGTTGTTAAAACTGAGAACATTTCCAAAAGCTAAAAAGAAAAAAAAATGTTTTGAAATTTCCAAATTTTTTCTGGAATATTTCTGAGATTAATCTCAAAATGTATGTTTTGGGGGGTTTTTTTTGTTTTGTTTTTTTTAAATAAAAATTTAATGCCATTTGTTCTCCACCTACGAAAGCCTCATTTTGCTGCCGCACTGTGGCGTTAGCGTGCACTACGTCGGCGTGTGTGCGTGACGGCGTCGCGCTGCCTTCGCGCGGCGTTTCCTCACCGGGTTCGTGTGTAGGGGTAAGCGTTCCAGGACTCCTCCTCCACACGAAGGGCGGCTTGGGGGAGGATGGCACAGAACCAGGACGGGATGTGTTTGCCGATGTGATAGACCTTGTGAGTGTACTGGCCCGACCCTCCCGGCCCGTCCTCGTAGGGCTTGTTCTCCAGGATCTCCACGCCGCTGCCCTCGCCGCAGCTCTCCTCTCTGCTCTTCTTCTGCAAGGCGGCCGGACGACGACGGTGCAGGAGGAGAGACATGTTCAGATTCATCAAAGAGGAAAAAGGGAATGAAGCATCCATTCACGGTTCACAGTGTCATCGAAAGCTTCTGGGAAGTCTTAACACGGTTCCTTGCAAACGTTTTCGCACCATTTGAGCTTAAAAAGGCGATGGTGGCTGCAGTGGATCAGTGGATTCAAAAACACTTTATTGTTCCCAAAGGGAAGTTATATACAACTCATATTAAATCAAAAAAAAATTATTCAGCTGCACAGCGTCCAAAACAAGATGGAACGGTTATCCCCCACCCCAAAAAAAGCTGTTTTTCCCCAGAAACACAAGAATGAAAGCTTGGAGACAACAAAAAAAAAGAAGAAAATATCTTAATAATAACAGAGCTTCTCTGATGTGCTGCCAGCCTAAGAGGTGCAATTATGATTGCAATAATAGGATAAGATCGGTTTCACTATCGGCTGATCCACAGGCACCCAACATGAAGGAAATGGGAGCCGATTTATCGGCTCACCTGATACTTTTAATAACTGCACAGCATTTTGTTTTTCTTGTGCTATAAATTACACCTATTCTTAATTTCTGTTTTTATGTGCTATATAGCAGACAATAGAGGATATTTACAGGCGCGCACTCACCTACTAACATCGCAGATTTCAAAGATCAGATTTTGGCCAGTACTTTTTTTTTTATTTATTTTTTTGTCTGAATTGTTACTAATTACAACAAGAAAGTCGATGATTCGGTAGCAGTGAGGCGACTATTGTTGGTAGCAAACATGCAGACATGACGTGGCGGTCTCTCACAGCAGAGCAAAAGACCACAGTGTCTGATGTTCAGTCCTTCGCTGAGGCAGAAAATCGGCGCCGTTTAATTGGTACATTCCTATTTCTATTCTATTCCATTACTTTCTTTTTATTTTCCTTTTACTCTCTCACTTCCTACCAGTAAGTGATTTGCTACGTTGAAGTACGAAGTGACTGAGGTGGTCACATTGACTGACTGGGACAGCTTTCCCAATGCGATGGGAAAGTTCTGCTGCAAAATCATCAGGCTGTTGAGAAAATGCCAGGATGAGAGAAACCAGAGATTTAAAAGCAACCTCTGTCTCAAGCGGAGCCGGTCCTGGCCTCATCAGCCATCGTGTGCTGTACTCTCAATTCTCTGGTCTTTCTCTTTAATGCCCGGCTAAATCCCTGCGGCCCTTGCAAAGCAATCCTGTCCCTCAGCCGGGACTCGTCCCACCCGGTCATCACATCTTGCAGCCGGGCGGATGACGCAGCAGCCGAGCGAAGAGATGGGAAGCACGGAAAGAGAAGCTGCTATCAGGAGATAAGACAGCTTTCCTTTGAATTCCTGCAGCCAGAGTCCAGCTCTGACTCCGACAAAGTTGTCGCCCGTTTATCTCAGAGGAACAATCACAGCTGCCTGTCAGTCTGGGAAGGCTTATCAGGCCATTATCAGCCAATTTAAAGTCTGCAGAGAGAAAGATTAATCAAACTGGAGAGTGTTTAAGATGGCTGTCAATCTTCAAAGACGTGGAGAGAGCAGCAAGTTCGCCCCAGGGCCGCACCATGCAAAGGTCAGAAGGTCAGAGAAACAGAGAAACGCTCCACCACACACCCTACAGGCAGCGTCAAGTAATACAAACCTTTTCAAAAACCTGCTGACCCTGCAGATAGGTAGTATGAAACTAAAAGTATAACCAGACGAATGAATTCTTTTATATTTGGATTCCAGAAAGAGAAAAATATCACAATAATGTAACAGTGTCTGTATTAACTGATCTCACTGTGACAGTGGAACGTCCAAAACCCGAATCTCATCTCCGACTTTAAGTGACACATTTGATACATCGATGTGTTGTCCTACTTTAAATCAAGCGGTGAACATCGCTACCGTCCATTTGCTCTGCCCCAAAACAATCCGACGCCTGAACAGAACTTAATCAACAGTTTAGGGGAGAGGCGTCCAATCACTGGTTTCCTCTTGGCTCAGCGTGCCACTTCCTCCCAATGAGGGGCAGCAGATGGTTGGAGCCACAGATCCTGTAAGACTCTGTGTTGCAGAGGGAGTCTGGGATTACACCATCAGTTCATGCACAAGCGTCATCTCCTTTAGAGGCTGTCAGACTGATACCATCTGGGTTTCGTGCAGGCGCCCGGCTCGCTCTGTTACGGGAGGCAAACTTTCGACTTTTGCTGTTGCGGCGGAGATGTTATGTCAAGACTGCTGGTGTGCATCACCGGGAGTTTTATTTTAGTAAAAGTCTCAGCGGTTCAGGTTTTTATAGAGTTGCCGAGCTACATGTTTCTGAACTAACGACTGACCAAGAAAGCTGGAACTGTAAATTGTCAAATATTGTCCAGGACATTTAACGTTACAGTATGTAACTTTAATACAAAAAAATATTCGTTTTTTTTTATTTTTTATATTCGTTAAAATCATCATTACATTGCGAAAAGTAAGACAGATAATCTGCGAAATAAATAAAGCTCCGCTGCCTTTTCCCAGTGTTAACTACAGAAACACCCAGTTCAGACAGAAACAACCAATCAGAGCCAGGAGGAGGGTCTCAGCGCTGTCAATCACCCTCGTGCGGCGATTTAACTCATGCAGGGCCGGTTCAAGGCTTTTATGAGGCCTTGAGCTGAAGTTGACTTAGGGGTTCCTCAGCAACTCTAACAGATTAAATCTGTTAGATTTAATCTGGGAGAAGGGGAGTAGTTTAACTGGCCAACCTCAAAATGAATAAGTTATAATTGCAGTTTATGAATTTGTGAACAAACAGATAAGACTGCCAGCATCAGACTGTTGCTATGGTAACAAAACAATCTAAGTTTAACGTCACTCAATTAGTAAAGGTAAAATAGTTGAACAGCCGGTCGCAGCAGGACAATGATCAAAAGTAATATCGACAAATAAACAAAGAAATAGTTCTGCGCAGCCAGACACAAAATGAGCCAGAAATCAAGACGGATTCTAGTTCTGATGAATAAAACGGTCCAAAGCGTTCATGTGACGCTGTAGAACCAGGAAGTGGAAGATACTTTGTTTCCACCAGATGATTGAGAAGTTATTTCATTGCATCGGTAGCAATGGCCGTAGCAACAGGACCAGGAATAAACAAATCGTCATGATCATTATTAACAGCCCGCAGTGGGGCGTTCGG